ACAAAATCACTCAAGAATGGCTCACACACTCACACAATGCTCTAGGGTTCCGTGGATTAGGGTTTAGGACTTGGAGGCTGAAAATGAGGCCAAAAGGTGAGGATTAAGATGCTTAAATAGGATGCAAAACCCCGAAATTAGGGTTTCACTCTGGCAGACCTACTCGCCGAGTCGAGGGCTCTCGAATCGTTGAGTAGATAGCTGAAAACCCGCGTCCAAGACTCGATTCTACTCGACGAGTCTGGGGCTCCCAACTCGTCGAGTAGCTCTATAAAATGAATAATTTTATAAATAAATGTGTACCAGAAATCAGGCGTTACAGATGCCGGGGCAAGCCCGATGAATGTTTGTATGCTTGATGTCTTCGTGATTCTTGCATGTGTCTGTTTAAATGTTTCCGGACTTCGGTCCGATGTCGGGGCAAGCCCGAGGAATGTTTATATGTATGTTAGGTGTTTATGTTTATATGTATTTGTTGATATGCTTATGTATATTGAGCTTTGCTCAATGCCGAATTTCGGTCCAATGCCGGGCGGGCCCCGATGCCGGATTTCGGTTCGATGTCGGACGGGCCCCTATGTAGTGGGCTAGGCCCAAGTTATGTTGTTATGTGATTATGTGATATATGTATGGTATGTGGTAGTTTGTGGAGACTCACTAAGCTTCGTGATTAAAGTTTTTATGAGATGATTTGGGTTGCTATGGTATTATTTATAAATTAAAAATGAAATTTTTGGACCGTATTTTTTGGATGTTTCATTTTAAGAACCCAATATTCAAACTTAAAGATGGAATACAAATGTTGTTTTGTTTATTGTTGTACTTGTGCTATATATTCAGTTTATCTGTGATCCATGAACTTAGTTGCACAACCCGGTAGGGGTGAGCATGGTGCGGTTCGGTGCAGTTTTTGGCTAAAACCGAACCGAAAACCGCAACTTCGGTTTTTTTGAAGTTTAGAAATCGCACCGTTCGGTTTGTATGCGGTTCGGTTTTTTATGCGGTTTTTTGCGGTTCGGGTTTTTTTGCGGTTTTTTGTCGGTTTTTTTTATTTGGTTTTGTTTTGCCTTTTTACTAAAACTCAGGTAACTCAACGAGTTACTTTGACTCGGATGAGGACTGTTAATCATTTCTTAAGAAACTTTATATAGAGATGAATCGATACCACCACCTATTGGTTTGAACTCAAATGACATAACCACTCATCCAACATGCTTCTAATGCTTGAATGTGAATTAAATATAATATTTGTTTCGCAGGTAAATGAGATAATATCAATTAATGTATTCATAAAAATGATACTATCATCACTAATACTCTTCATATTCATATGTTAAAAAATATAATAAACATTATTTGTTCTTGTAAATATACTATATATATGTTTAAAAATATATAATCATCCACTGATAAGATATATATTTATATTTATAAAAAATTTAATTGTCATGAGTTCTTCATTCTTACAAATATCAATACTTAATATATATATATATATATATATATATATATATATATATATATATATATATATATATATATATATTCGGTGCAGTTCGGTTTTTTGCGGTTTTTGCAAGACTAGAAACCGCACTGCACCAAACATTTTCGGTTTTTGCAAAACTAAAAACCGCACCGTCAATTTTGATTTCGGTTTCGGTTTATGCGGTTTTTTCGGTTTGTGGTTCGGTTTTTGCTCACCCCTACAACCCGGTATGTTTTACCGCCTCAGCCGGGGGTGTGACAGATTCCCAGTTCCCACGTCGCGGCGTCGCTGAAACCTATAAATTAAGTCGAAAATTAACCCTAATGATATATCTTCCAACCTAATTCGTTCCCTACGAAAACAACCATCAAAAGTGTCGTTTTAAGGGGTTAGAAGGCGACCGGAGGATTGTTAAGCTGATTTGGAGCGAAAATCTGAAGGATTCGAGAGCTGATTCATGACAAGAATCATTCGGTTTGCTGTTTTGACCATGATTAACATTCTAGTTGTTTCTATATGTGTTTTCATTTCTGAGTTAAGGCTGCAAAACACTATTTATTTGTGTTAGATTAGACGAATCTTGAGATTTTTATTAAATTTCTATTTGGATCATTTGTTCTTATTTAATTTATTTTGTCAAGTTTGATTGAAAGATCCATATGTGTTAAAAATCTCTTCTTTATTGCCTATAGCCGAATTAATAAAGTTTAGATGACCATTTTGACTGTGTTAATTTGAATCATAGTTCCCATGATCATTGATAATTATGACTAAAGTTTGATCATAACCTATGGTTAGGTTAATATAGTTTGAACTATAATGTGTGTACATGAGTCGATGATCATTCTATGCATGATTTAATTCCTATGATCATTAGGATTAATACATATCAAATAATGCTTAATACGAACTCAATAATGAATTTATGGATAATTAATGGCACGATGATGAAATTAAGAGTCTTTAGATTCATTAGAATTGTAGTCTGCTAAGTCATATTAGGAATCGATGAATACTGAATAAATATCCATTACACTTCGTAGTTAACCAATATTTTAAGATGAAGTTCATTCTGAAGCAAAGTACCCGAAGTGATTTGTTTCCATTCAGTTTATCTAGCTAGTTTAGTTGTTGATTTAATTGAGTTTTATTAATACCCCCCCCCCCCCCCTTTTATGCTTTCTTTAATATAGTATAACATATAATAAAAAATTATAATGTTAATTCACTACCGTTCCTATTGAGTTCAACACCCTTGCTTATCAAAACTATACTATACTCAATCGACTTCACTGCCTGTAAGGTGTGGTTTAGATGTGATAGACTTGAAATAATAAATAAAAAACTAATGCATTAAAAATCACATTAACCATCAAATACAAGTTTAGAGAAAAATAAACCCAAGAAACATGGTATGTGTGGTCCCTTACCCTTTGAACATGATAACATAACATTTGTGGCATAACTTAACTTTTCAAGTCCTGCATAACAGGTAAACTAAAGGTTGCATTGGAACTTGAAATTGATTTGGAAAGTGACAGTGATGTTGAAACGGAACCTGATAGTGAAGTGTAGTCTTTTGTAGTTGAATTTGAATATGATATTCAAGGAGAAAATATAGTGCAAGATCAAGTTAAAGAGGAATTGGTAGAAGATGATATTCAAGTACAAGTTGAGGTGTAACAAAATGTAGGAGAAAATGTAGTGCATGAAGATATAGTGCAAGATCAAGTAGCATATGATATTTAAGTACAAGATGAAGTTTAAGGCAAAGTTCAAGGACAAGCTGCAATTCATATCAAGTGGAAGAGATTATGCAAGAAGACCAAGCAGAGGAATTGGTTGAAGTTCAAGTCAAAGATGGTATTCAAGTACAACATGAAGTTCAAGGACAAACTGCAGTTCAAGATCAAGTGGAAGAGATTATGAAAGAAGTACCATCATTTCAAGTTATAGTGGGACAAATGACAAGGAAACCTTTAGACAGAATTACAAAAAATAACATAAGAAAGACGTGGGAGGGGAAACATGGGAGCAGTAATGACAATCCATATGTGTTGGAATAGCTTTTGGCATCTTGGACCATTGTTAATGTTTTGACATCTTTGACTGGGAATCTTATATTTTGTCTAGATATGTTTAACTTTTGGAATCTTTTGGCAGTAATGCATGTTTAACTGTGTTATGTTTAACTTTTGGCACTAATGGATGTTTAACAGTGTTATATTTAACTTTTAACACATTTTTTGTAATCAATGTTCCATGTAATCTTTTACCATCTATTTTAATACCATTTGCAATGTTTAAAATATCTTGTCATCTTTTGTAATACCAATTGTAATCACAATTCCATTACAATGTTTTTTTTTTCAATTCGGTTCCAATGTTTCATTATATTCATTGTAATCAAGTAACCATTTTTTCCAATTAATCAAAGTTTCATTATACATTGAAAACACCAAGTAACCAATTTTTCCAAACAATCAAAGTTTCATTCAAAACATCATAAATGATACATCATTTAGTCATAATATATTATGAACTACATAATTCAAAACAACATTTTTACATACAAGAAAAACAACACAATCAATGCAACTTTGTGAGTAAACAACTTTTAGTTGAGTTTGTCCAGTTCTTATATATTAACCAAATTGGTGTTCTTCTCTTGTTCGATCTTCATCCTGCATATACTAATTTCATTCTCCAAGGTACAAAGTTTCAACCTAAGATTGGAGTCTTCTTTTGATTTCATACTGTAATGTCTTCTTCCATCCGTCCTCCCTTCATAATTCATCCAACCATTGCCAAAATTTACAGCTTGGACTTTTTCCATAATTCAAGAAATATTTAAAAAAGGATAAATTGAAGGATGAAGAAGAAGTTAACAGAAATTCAAAAAATTGCTTTAGCAGTGAGTTTTGACAAACTCTAAATTTTCTTCCAGGCTTGTCCGGGGTCCTTGAAATCTTCACACGATATGGTAAGTCGCAATCACATGGACGATCAGCTTGAAATCCGTCTTGTCGTTTAGAAGAAAAAGACGAGGAAGAAGAAACCATCGATCGATCTAGGATTTGATTTAACGAGCAGTCATCAAAACACATCCCTTCTTATATTGTAAACGACGACAAATACGTACAATGCCATGTAGGTGATACATATTTCAATATATATGCCATGTAGATACATATCAACTAAAACCTACGTTTACCAGTAATAATGATTATTTGTGAACATATAAAACAAATTTGTTGGACAAATAATAAAAAAAGAACAATATTACCTAATATGTATACATACAAAAAGATGATTACCTTAAATATCTAATATTTTTGATTACATACAATAAACTTAGGACATCCAAAATCCCGAATCCCACAAATTACCGAATCCCGAAAATATCAATATTTGATTATTTTCTAATATCCAAAATTTAAAATAATTTCAAACCAAATTATTTAATTTGGATAATGCTTATCAAAATTATCCAATACTATGCTGAATATCCAAAATGAAAGAGTTATCGGATAGCGTAAAATTTGAAATTTTATGTTCAAAATCAAAAAGGAAAGGTAAAAAGTTGAAATTCAAAAAGACTGGAAAGTAAGAAAGCAAAAAAGTCTCCGTTGGGTGTTTTCAGTCTCCCAGGAGTCTGACAAAAGCTTCCCCCCCTTCTCTCTTCTCACTTTCTCACTGTAACCCACGTGACCTCCGTACTCTTCCACAAACACAAGTCTTAATCATCCCTTTCATTCAAACGAACACTTTAGGTTGTTCTTCCCTCGAACATTTTTCTAAAATCCCCGAACTTGGAGGTTTTGTTACATCCGAATCTGCTTTTCTTCCGGGTGAAGGTAGAATTTCACACCTTTTTCCTTATTCTGCACTAGTTACTGTTGTGGGTTTTCTCGAAAAAGTGTTGATTTTTCTTGTTGTTGTTCCATATTAGTCTCCTGTTCTCCGGGTTTGTGAAGTTTGTGCTTCTGGGTTGTTTATACTTCAGTATTGTAGGTGCATTCTTCTGATTTTGCTTTTTTGTTCGATTGTTGCATTTTTTTTGCGTTGTACTTAGCGTTCTGATATGAATAGAGTTTGCAAGTTAAAATTTCATCCGTGGTGTTGTTATACATTGTTGATGTTGGTGAATTTTGAGTGGCGGATTCGTTGATTTTGTGGGTATTTCTTAAATTAGGGTTATAAAGAAGTTAATTGCTATAATTTTAACCTGCTTCTGATCAATTTCTGTAGGAGAATGGGCGTGATTTCACGAAAGTTATTCCCAGCATGTGTAAACATGTGCGTCTGCTGTCCTGCTCTCAGATCACGTTCTAGGCAACCTGTGAAGAGATACAAGAAACTACTTGCAGAAATCTTCCCCAAATCACCTGTTAGTATGCACATACGTGTTTACATTTGGAAAAATTTGATGCTTAAAAGACATAAATCCTAGTTCTATGAATGAAACTCTACTTTTGTGCAGGATGGCTCTCCAAACGAGAGGAAAATTGCAAAATTGTGTGAATATGCTGCCAAAAACCCTTTTCGTATCCCCAAAGTTAGTGACCACATTCTTTTTGCATAAGCTTAATTAATAAGTTAATGACATGAAATTACCATTAAAGACTTTTTGTTTCATTTAGATTGCTAAATATCTTGAAGAAAGATGCTACAAGGAGTTGCGATTAGATCATATTCATCTGGTTAATGTTATAACAGAGGTGTATAGTAAGTTGATTTGCATGTGCAAAGAACAAATGTAAGCTGTTTCTTTTTGTTTTTGTGAATTAACTTTGTGTCATACCCCTTCTTAACTTAATACAAAAAGAACCCCAACTTTTTACAAATTTGCCCTTGTTTGTGATGTTATATTATCTTTTGCCAACTTTTCAGGGCATATTTTGCTGTCAACCTGCTGAATGTTTCTATTGAACTTTTGGATGATTCTAAACGGGATTCAGTTCAGATAACTGGATGCCAAACCCTAACTCGATTTATATATAGTCAGGTGAATATTCAATATTCATTTCATATTTTCTATCACACATTGCAGAAAGACACATGACAAATTCGACTTAAAGTTGAATTCTATAGAATGTTTCTATTTTCATATGTTTTGTTACTTCTCTATGTTCTCTTACTCTAGACATGGTTTCCAATAGGTGGATGGAACTTACACATATAATCTTGAACATTTAGTTCAAAAAGTTTGTATGTTAGCCTGTAAACCTGAGGAAGAAGATGAAAAAAAGGGATTGAGAGCAGCAAGCTTGCAATGCCTTTCAGCCATGGTAAGTTATATTCAAACTTAATATATGTTTTACAATTATTTTCTCAAAGTAGTACGTTTGTTTTCTTCTGGTTTTGATGATATTTTATTTACTTTTTTTCATGCAGATTTGGTTTATGACAGAGTTTTCACATATATTTAGTGATTTTGATGAGGTTCGTCTATTTCTACCACTTCTTTTTATTTAATTATCATTTTGTTTGGTGGTTCTAGCACATAGATGATCATATATGTCGACTGGTTTATTCATAAGGATGACATTTACTGATTTACCCTAAATCCAAATTGCAGATTGTACATGCGGCTTTAGGTAACTATGAGCCAAATACAAACAATGAACAAGATGATGATGGAGAGGAAGCACATCATAATTGGGTGAATGAAGTGGTTAGATGTGAAGGAAGGGGGATTCCTGTCGACACTGATTCTAGCTACACTTCTCTCAAACCACGCCCTGAAAAGAAAGATCCTTCCCTTTTACCTAGGTCATTTTCTCTCCCTTTCTAAGATAATGAATGTCCGCAAAAGACGTTAATGCCCTCATCCTCATCATCGACAAAAGCCCTAGAAAGCTAAATAACATGTGTGAATCGATTTTTGTTTCTTTGAATGTGGTTATAGAGAAGAGGCGGAGACACCTAAAGTATGGGCTCAAATTTGCATTCAAAGGATGGTGGAACTTGCTAAAGAAAGTACAACAATGCGTAGAATATTGGATCCAATGTTTGTATATTTTGATACTAACAGACACTGGGTCCCTCCACGTGGGTTAGGGTTGATTGTTTTATCTGATATGGCCTACTTTGTAGAGAGCCCAGGTGCTTATACGTTTTTTTTTGAAGGGGTTAATGCAAAACATCGCAACATGATTGTTTAGCAATTTGTTTGTGTTTGTTTCAGAAAACAAGCAGTTGATATTGGCTTCAATTGTTCACCATTTGGATCACAAAAACATTTCACATGATCCAGAATTGAAATCATACGTTATCCAGACTGCTTCTGCTTTGGCTCGCCAAGTTAGGTCTGAAGTTGCACTCAAAGATATTGGATATGTCACTGATCTCTGCAGACATTTGAGGAAAAGTCTTCAAGCAACTGTTGAATCTGTTGGTGAACACGAGTTTAACTTGAATGCGTTACTTCAATCATCCATAGAAGATTGTTTATTCGAAATTGGCAAAGGGGTATGTAACTATGTATGAGTATTGACTATTTTCCAAAAGGATTAAACTCTCTCTGTAGAAATCTGACTTAAACTTGTGTTATGCTCTTTCTAGATTCTTGATGCACGCCAACTGTTCGATGTAATGTCAACAACACTTGAGAAACTAGCACCTAGTAGTATTGTTGCTAGGGCAACTACTGGATCAATGATCATTCTTGCTCACATGATTGTTATAGCATCTGTTTCCTCAAATTCACAACAGGTGAGCATAATCATCAAACTTTTTTTTTTTTTCAAAATTGAAGTTTAGTTTTCTAAAATCTCTCTTGTATTATATTATACCAGGTGTTCCCTGAGGATCTTCTTCTTCAACTTTTGAAACTAATGCTGCATCCAGATGTTGAAATACGATTGAGTGGACACCAAATCTTTTCTGTTCTTCTCATTCCAAATTCTAAACATTTGAGGCGTGATACTGATGCTTCTACTTCTAATCAAACAAGAAGATGGAGTTCTGATACTGCATCTGTGTTTGCCTCTGTTACATCTTTACTCGATAAGCTTCGTGGAGAAAAAAATGGAAAAGAAATTGTTTGTATTCAAGATGGGGATAACAACAACACTGAGGCTGAAAGAAAGCATCCTGGGTGGGCCCACAAGAAATCCCCAAACTTTCAGAAATTATCTTCCATCACTGCTGGAGAAATCACATTGTCTGATGCAGTAAGTTTCAATGATTCAATCTTCCTTTTACAAATTTGCCCTAATCTTCATGGATCCCTTAAATTTTTTTTTTGACAGGAATCATCTGTTATGAAGTTTAGTGAGGATCAAATAACTCAATTATTGTCTGCTTTTTGGATTCAAGCCAATCTTCCTGATAACACTCTTGAAAATATCGAAGCTTTAGCTTATTCTTTCTGCTTAACACTTATTTCTTTGCGACTTAAGGTGAGACAATATAAATATAAATCTTATCAACATATACACCTTAAAATTTAAATATCTCTTTTTATATTTTATTGCAGAATCCCAATGACAATCTTGTGGTTAGGATCTTCCAACTTCCCTTGTCACTTTGGAAGATATCATTTGATCATGGTAATGGTATGTGAAAAAGTGGAGATTTTTTGGGAGTTTTAGATTTGGAGAGTTTAAAAAATATTATGGAAATTAATTTCTTTTTTGATATTGGTCAGGAATGTTGTGTCCAGCTCACCAAAGATCACTTGTTACATTATCAACAGCAATGCTGATGTTTGCAGCCAAGATGTATCAAATTCCTGATGTTGCTGATGTACTCAAGCCAATGCTTAAATCTGATGTAAGTTTACACTTTAAAGACTTTTTTTATTGGTAATAAATAAAACGAGAAAAAATTAATAAAAAATGGCTCGACTATTTATATGATAATCTTGTTTCTAAGTTTCAAACCTTTTGATTTTAAGTTTGGTGGATAATTAAATTGCTTTCATTTTAGGTTGATAACTACTTGGGTATCAGTGATGATTTTCAAGTTTATATAAAGCCTCAGGCAGATATAAAAAACTATTGTTCAGACCATGATAATCAACTGGCTGCTGCTCTTCTTGCTGATTTGCAAAACAAGATGTTTAAATCTAATGAGATGATTGTCGATATTTTAGTCCATAAATTATCCAGCATAACTGAGGTATAGTTTCTAAGATCCCATGAAAAGACATAAATACCCTTCTCATTCTCATCATTGAAGATAGCCCTAGTAAGCTTTTTATGGGCTTATGTGTTTAGCATGCGTTGGACCTGAGACTAGAACTGATGTCAATGGGAAAAAAAGATACAAAATTTTGTCCCACCCAAAAAGGTGGAAAAGACATAACTGCCCTCCTCAATTTCATTATAGAAAACAGACCTACAAAGCTTTTTGAGGCCCTGTTTGTTCTCCAATACTTGACAGAACAGATTGGAAATGATGTCAACGTGACAAAATTCACTATTTTTTGTCCCACCCAAAAATGGTGCAAAAGACATAAATGCCCTTCTCATCCTCATCATTGAAAATATCCTAGAAAACTTGTCCAATCCCACCCAAAAAGGTGGACAAAAGATGGAAGCAGAAGAACTCATTGTTCTTTTTTTTTTTTTGACTAATCAAGGATTGATTTTGTGTCCATGGTTTTTTGTTTTTTTAATATAATAAAAATAAATAAAAGATGGAAGCAGAAGAAGTACGTATTCAGTTGTTGGAAACTTTCATGCCGGATGATGCCATATTTGGTCAAGAATCAATGCTTCATTTAGATCACTCTCATAGAGTCGCACATTCAAAAGAATCCCTTTCTTTTGACACGGTATCTTCTTCTTCTATGTTACATATTCTCATGCCATATTTTTATATATCTGCTAACGATTAAACTTTTTTTTTTTTAGCAGGATTTTCCCACAAATTCGTTAGTTGAAGACGACGCAAGCAGTGAATCATCTGTTTCAGATCTCTCTCGCTTCATATCCAAATCTCCTACACCAAGCTCCATGTCTCATGTCATTAGCATCCGACAGCTTCTTGAATCAGTAATTTAATAAATCCTAATATTCACATTGCAATATTTGTAGTAGAAAGATTTAAAGATTTTTTTTTTTTTTTGATATATTTGGATGATATCATAGGCATTAGAAGCAGCTGGACAAGTGGCTGGAGCATCTGTGTCAACCTCTCCCCTACCATTCAGCACCATGGCTGGGCAGTGTGAAGCCTTAGGCACAGATTCAAGGAAAAAGCTCTCCACTTGGCTCTCTCATGCAAACACTGATGCAACAAAACCTTCACCCATGCCTACTCACACTTCAAATGCTATGAAGGTGATTCTTTTTATGGCTAAATACAAGAAATAGAAACATATTTTCGTTTGTTTGTTTGTTATTATTATATCATCTTACTTTCATTTTTGTTAATGTAGATTTTGGGTGAAGATGAGCCACTTTGTAGAGGAATGAATGGACTGAGGCTACCTCCTGCTAGCCCATTTGATAACTTTTTAAAAGCAGCTAGATATGGTTAGAACAGATGGGATCTCTTGTTAATACCTGTTTCTACTAATTCATGTCGATCAAATGTATGAATTAACTTGATTTATAATACCCTTTTAGGATTTGTTTGTAGGGATAATGACTTGAGAGGGTAACCTATTTTAGCTTTTGGTCACATTTGGTCACTAAATTATTTTTCGTGATTTATTAACCATTGAACTTGTTGAAACGTATACATTATACCAGTATGACCGATAATAGTAGGTTTTGCCGGTTTCCGGCGTTGTGTCCGGCCAAACATGAGTTTTCCGGTCATCTTCTCCGGTCAAACTCAATTTTCCGACGTTTCTGGCAAGAACCAAAATTTTCCTGGTCACTCATGAAAACCACTGAAAACGGAGTTCAAACCCAAAAAAATCCACAAAAAAACATAGTTGTCTCATCAAGTGTGTGATCTGTAGAAAAACATCCACCAAAAACGGAGTTGAAATTTTTTTAAGAACTGAAACATGGATTTGCAGAAAAAAAGGATGAACAAGAACACGATTTCAAAATTGTTTTCTGATCTGGTTTGAAGATTCATCTTGTTATGTGAATTTTTTTGGGAGGAAATCGAATTCGGAAAACCTGGAGTTTTCGTGTGTTCATGTTCATGTTCATCTTCATCAGCATATACTGAAAGATGAAGAACATCTTCATCTTCATCTGAAAACCCTTCATCTTGAAGAGTTTTTATACATCTTCATCTTTTGGTATATTCTTCATCCAGATTTGAGTTCCTTCAAACTTTGATTTGGATCCAAATTGGCGTTCCTTCAAACTTTGATTTGGTTCCAGATTCGTGGGCTAGGGTTTCTTCAAAAATAAAATTGTTCATCAGATGTGTGTTTGAAATTGATTTCGTTTTCAGGTCTGTGTTTGCAATCAATCATCAGTATCGTAATTATACTTCAAAATCGAAATCAATTCCAAATACCATGAAGATGAATATGAATGGGTCTAGAAACGAGGCCTGAAATCTGCCATATGTGAACTGGAGACGAGTTCGATTCCTGTTAGGCTTTCTTCATCATAAACAAAATCGATTCCAAATGTTGAAGGGTTTGAATTCGAGGATTTGATGGGTTTAAACAAAATCGATTCCAAATATTGAAGGATTTGAACTCAAAATCTGCCATTGATGAACTTGATTTCACATTTGTTTAAGATTTGTTCCAAAACCATGTATGAACTTGAGTTTACATGTGTTTCATATGTATATGTTCCAAAAATCTACCATGAATGAACTTGAAAGCTGTCATGGCCGGAAAACTCATGCTTGGCCGGAGAAGATGATCGGAGAAGATGACCGGAGCGCCAGAAATGTTGCCGGAGGTGGAACTCAGCCCCCACAACAATTTTTACCTGCTATTATAGGTCATAATGGTATGTTTTAAACAAAAAAACAAGTTTAAGGGTTAACAGTGCACTAAAATAAGTTAAGTGACCAAATATGTACAAATGATATAGTTTGTTACCCTCTCAAGTCATTATCCCTTGTTTGTATGTAATCGTGTTGAGTATTGTTTGATGTCGTTAAGGTTGTAATGCACATGTAATGTAGCTACTTGGGCTCATATGAGTTTTGACTCTGAATATGTGATCCCTTTTTCCTTCCTTCGGTTTGTTATGCTTGTTGTGTAGATACAATTGAGGTCTTTTTTGTGCATGTTTTAGAACCAATATTTGTTATGGGATATGATCTAAAATTGTATGTAAAATCGAGATTACTTGTACATGTTTGGAAGTTTAATAGTTTTGGAGATTGAGATGGATGCTCAACCTTAGTGACCAATTATCGTTACTAACAATTGGTATGTGAAAGGTAATTTTAATATATGTTTTTAATAATCTTAGCTATTTGTTTAAAATACTTATGTAACGGCAGTAGCGTTTTATAATCTAAGGAATGTCTGTTGGAGATTAAGCACTTCAACAATTTAACAAACTTCAACACAATGAGTAATAATGCAAACGAAAAAACAACATTATATTCAATGTGATTCCCACCATTAGAATGATATGCTATGTCCATGTGTGCACACGAAAGAGATTTTTTATTGATTAATGATGAATTATAGTTATGCTATCTTAGCTTTAGGTTACAGGAATAAAAGGTGTATATATAGGAACAAAAGACATAAAAATCTGCCAAGAAGGCCAACCTAGAATTATGAAGAAAAAGGCTTATACTAGCCCACAAAAGAAAAAAAATCCATGGGGCACTACCCGCAAGGGCAAAATCCATGTTAACTTCCGTTCATCGTATCATGTCAAAATGGGTGAATCATGCTCCACAACTTAACAATCTTTCACATGGAGGCTGATTAACCAAACAGTTACCATCCAATCTCGAACTTTGTGACCTACCTCTTTCTCTCTCTCTCTCTCTCTCTCTCTCTCTATATATATATATATATATATATATATATATATATATATATATATATATATATATATATATATATATAAACACCTTCATTTCAAGTACATGAAAAGCGAATTGAAGCCATGAACAACTTCAATTTTTGTTGTCATCAAGATGATAATATTTGATGGATTCTTTGTGCCAATGATTTTTGAGAGTCCCATCACTTATTAGTTAACAGATAAAGTGGTACCTCATCAGAATGTGTTTCGTCCTACTGTGAAAAACTAGATACTTTGCCAAGTGGACTGCGGTATGGTTGTCACAAATCAATATATAATCTTCCCGCTACATCCCACGTTTTAAGTTGAAGCTCTTCAACCATATGAGTTCCTTGCTTCTACAATAGCCATGTACTATGATTTTGTGGTTGAAAGAGCAACACTCTTATGTGATCTGGACATCACTGATTGCCATGCTCCCGATTGTGAAAACATAACTGATTGTGCTATTTCTTGAATCCATACAACCCCCCAAATCAACATTAACAAAACCTTACAAAACAACCTATTTCCTTTGTCACAACTAGCAAATTAGCTAAGAAATTCTATATTTTTGGTAAACTCCAACAATGACAACAATTGTAACCATGACTTGAAGACATGAATGATGTTATTCAATGGTAACAAAATTCCATAAAAATCCAAATGAAAAGCTAAAACTCTATACAAACACTTCAAAAAGTCAACTAAAGATTGGAAACCCTACAAATCCCGGTTTAAGTCCATGATGGACTAGGATTTCCTTATTGGGCCTAATGGACCAATAAGCTTCCAATTTGACTGTTTTGGGCTTAGAACTCTTAATTGGGCTCTAATTGGATCCACTTTCATGAGACTTAGCATTTTGGGCCATAATGGGCCTAAAATGAATTGGTTTTCCCTAATGGGCCTTATTGGGCCATAACTAATCTAATTAGTCCTAATGGGCCATAAATCCATTCTTTTATGCAAAATTGGGCCGTGAACCTCCTTTAGGGCCCAATGGGCTGCAAAATATTATTAAGCTCCATAAATTCGAGCAAGCCAAGAAAAAGGAGCCCAAAACCATTTCATCTCCATCCTTAAGCCCAATTCTCGGCCCATTTAGTTAATAAAAAAAAGAGAGAAAAGAAGGGATTTTGTCCATATGACACCTCATTAATATCCTCCATGCAATTAAGATTAATACACATTATGTAATTACCCAATCCCATACTTCCATGCAAGATTTTCTTTCTCCTTCCCTCTTCTTCTTAATTCTCGGCCAAAGAGAGTGTCTTACCACTCTCATTTTCTTTCATCTCCACTCTCCAAAAACTCTCTCAAGAACTCATCCTCCTTCCTCTAAATTTTTGAGTTTTGGTGTGTGGTTTCAAGAGGATCTTCATCTAAATCATCATTTTTGGTAAGTACTTACTTGGATCTATGTTTTAACTTCAAGATTCCATCAAAATCTCTTCTTAACCCACATCATCTCATGATCTATGCTCTTGAACTTTATAGACTTCAAAAATCTCCTCAAGGAAACATCTAGGGCCGAAAATCTTCTTCAAACTCTTCATCAAACCAAGAACAACAAACCAAAGTGAGTTCATACCCCCTATTTTCGATTTTTACTTTGTTTTGGGGGAGAATACAAGTTGTGTTGTGTAGATCTATGTGTGTATGCATGAATATGTGTGTTTTTCATGATTTATTTGGTGGTTATGTGTTATTTACTTCATAAATCTAAAAATATGTTAAGAATATTAAGTTTATCACTTGGATCTACATGAAAACCTTAAGAAAAGTATGTGTTATCACATATAATACATGTAAACTAGTAGATTTGGGATTTATACACTTAAAATAGTAAAAATGAGTGTTGTGTTCCAAGATCTATAAGCTAAACTCAAAAATTAGCCTTTCACAGGAAAGTTTTGGCCCAATCTCGAACTGTTTTGACCACCTAAATGATAATATTTTTCAAAACTGTTTTACATGCAAACATTTCAGGTTTCTATCTTTAAAATGACTACTCTCACGTTTTCATACGATTTTTCTACAATATTTGGCGAATTTTACAAAACTACCTATCAGATTTGAAATAATTTCGGACTAGCCTGTGAAGGTGAGCAATTTCACACTTGTTAGAAGCCATTAAAAATTATGAGAAAAATTGTGAACAAAGTAAACAAAATTTCCAAACTTCCAGAATTTACAGATCCAAATTTCGACTTACGATGATTTTTCTACGAATTTTCCAACAACTAGGTCAGAAAAGCCCAAAACCAGAAAAATGTATGTTTTCACAAAAATCAAGCCAAAAATGATATTTTTGACAAAAATGGGTTTAAAATGTTATTTTTACCACAAACTAGTCATCAACACAAGTTTTGAACAAAATGGAGACTAAAGTGTTATTCTTACAAAAATTGGGCCTTAATTGTAAATTCTTGGCTTATTGGGCCAAGAACGTCATTTTTACAAAAAGTGGGCTTTTATGCTATGTTAGTGAATACTTGAACCAAAACCAACGATAAACTAACAAACGGATTAATTTGATCATGTTATAAGTTATTGAGCCTTAGTGGCCTATTTATATGTTTGATAGGTCCTGTATACTATTTATATGTTTATTGGGCCTCATTGACTCATTAACATGTGCGACGGACCTTGGATACTATTTGTGTGCTATTTGGGCCTGTAAATACCTTACATGTGAAATGGGCCTTAGTTGTCATTTCATATATATTTCGGGCCCATGTTATATAATCTCATTCCAATTGGGCCTTGAAATGATTTACATGTTTAGCGATGCCTTAGTGGTTCACTTACATGGTTCATTGGGCCTGGAATGAGTTTATACTTTTCTTCGCGTAAATTCGATTAAGGATCTAGTGAGTTTTGTCGGTTGGCACCTATTAAGTGTACGATCGTAGCCTGTAGTTGTAACCAGAGTCTCTTGGAGGGAGAGCGGGGATTTGTGTATAGATCTATATGGGGATGACACCCCACATCTGAGCTGTTCGCTACAGTTAGACTAACTCAGTCTAGGGTGACGAAAATCTTATAATCAAAACCGGCGTCCAACAACGCCAAGACAGGCGAAATTGTCATTATTTAGTATGGTTATGACGACTCACTTAGAGGAATTAACGTTATGAAGTTTACGGAAGACCATTCTCTTTTCTCTTGGATTACTCGGAAACATACTCGTACTGGTACTCAACCTCGGGGGTTGGTATGGCAGCTTTCTCTTTTACAGACAACATCGGGTTGTCTGGGAACATTCTCTTTACATGCTCTTTACATTCTCTCTACATTCTCATAAATAATAATACGCATGCATTAATACAAGATCTGACACAAACATGCTAAACAGTTTTCAGAAAATATAGGATTTTCTGGTGGTTTCAAAGTCATACAAATCATTTTCACAAACATGCTTATGAACTCACCAACATTTTTATGTTGACCTTTTTAAGTTAACTTGTATTATCAGGAAACCGTTGAAGCAGGTTGAGCTGAACAAACTAACGGAGGTTTAGTTATATTTTGTTTCATCATACTTTAACTATTTGGCATGTAATATTCAATTATAATACTCAATGTAAACTATGAATGTTGTTATTTTACATGTGTGATGATGATGATGTTATGTTTCAGTTATATACTCTGTAATGATACTACAACAATGAAGTCACGCTCAAGCCCCCGGACGTTTCCGCCGTCTGGTTCGGGGGTGTGACATCCTTCTAAAGCATAAGGCAACCTCGAAAGTACCTTTCAAGTGCCACTTGACTCCTCCGCAATGCCCTTTTCTGGATTTGACATAAACCGACTCACAACTCCCACTATACGAGCAATATCTGGTTTGGGGCACACCATAACATACATTAATCTACCAACTGCTAAGGTCTAGTGAACTATAGCCAATTCCAGGATTGGTTTTAACATCCTTATCCCATATTCAATACAATAATCAAAGAATTCTCTACTTCTATATTCAACCACATTATCTGACTTGAAGTACTTAATCTTCATGTTTGTTTCATTTTCCACAACTTTCCATTTCTTGATGTTGCTGATTTTTTCTTCAAGAAATAAACCCAAACATTCCTTATGCAGTCGTTAATGAAAGTAGCATAATACATGGAACCTCCTACTAAAGAAACTGAAGTGGGACCGTATACATCCGTATGAACTAACTCTAACTTCCCAAGCCCCAGCCTTGTACGGTTGACCTATCTTTGCAAATGTGACTTCCTTCTATTTTCAAGGACACATGGCTCACATAAGTCAAATGTTCCACTCTTCAAATATGGAATCTTCCTTCCATAGGCTAGCATCTTTTTTCCATTCTCACTCATATGCCCAAGTCATTGATGTCATAGAGTGAACACCCTGCTTCTTCTACTGCTTCTTCTGCTGTGATGTTTGCTTCAACTTTAGAAACCTCCACCATATAAAGTCTACCCGTTTTTTGTCCTTTAGCAACAACCAAATTCCCTTTTGTCACATTCACAGATGATTACCAAAAGTAACATGAAGACCTTCATCATCAAGTTTCCTTACTTATATCAACTTTCTCTTTAGATCAAAAATATACTTAACGTTCTCCAAAGTCCAATTCATTACCAAAGTTTTTCATCGGGACAACATCCCCAACATCCGTGATATTGTTTAAAAAATAAGAGACCTTTGACAACCAAGGCCTCTATACAAACAAGGCTCACAATGGTCGAAGACTTGGGCTAGGTTAGCTTCTTGTTGTCTTTCTCGCCTTGGTTTCTTGCATTCTGCAGCATAGTGCCCATATTCTTGGCAATTGTAACACTAAATGTGACTCTTGTCTCGATTATCATACGTACCACGAGTGTCTTCACGAGACTGTTGGTTGTTGTCTCTTCTACGACCTTCACGGTTTGCATAATTGCCACCATGACCTCTTCCCCGAGCACCTTGGTTTTGCGTGTTGCTGCGATTGTTTTCCTGTGAGGAAGGTCCGTGTTCTTCGTTTTGTTTCTCTTGTGTTTCTATCCATTCTTGGTGAGTAAATGACAACCTCTTCTCACCAAGATCAGTTTGACTACGGACGCTTTCTTCATGAGCTTTCAATCTCCCGATAAACTTCTTGACAATCATCATTTCAAGACCCGCGAATTGCTCGATTGTTGAAGCAATTTGCAAGAACTTACCTGGTACAACACGAAGCAACTTTTTCGCACTTTCTTATTTCAATCCCAAGTAGGGTCGATTTAATATGTGATCCTTAATAACTCTTCATCTCTGAAATCCTGTTGATTGTTTTGTCTATATGTTGCAAATAGTTTGTGGTTTTTTGATTTGATAGCAACTGCCTTATACGGATACATATGAGGTGCTTGATGAAACGCCTGGTGCATGGGATTAAACAAAAGGATCAGCTATGGAACAAAATAAAGTTTTGTTACATTAGATGTGAAGTTCTTTTTTCAATGGTCGAAGAGGATATTGTGTTGCAAAAAACTGAAAATGGTATGTAACTCTTCCACTTTTTTTCTTTCTTTACAACATAAATTCTTATGAGTTTTTGTTACAAGCAATCTGAATCAACCACCCAAATCCCAAATTTGTATAAAGCATTGTACTTCAGTTTGTACCAAAACTAACAAATGCTTTTAGTTTTTACAGGAAAAAGATTTTCAATTTTGTTTTGCCTTGGTCATGATTGTGGAATTATGATTTTCGTTTTCATAACAACATATAAATACGCTCTCTGATCCTTGATCATGATTGTGGAATGAACATTTGATGGTGTTAATTGGATCAGGGGATCATCACAGGTACAAAAACAAATGATCATTAGATTGCTTATGTTGCAATTTCTTTTAAGGTCTATTGGAGATTTAGATGTTGGAGAGTTCACAGTTCATGTTCCTTACTTTAAGCAAGTCAAGGTCAATACTCAGTAATTCATTTTACTTCACTGCTATGCAAAAAACCGTAAATGTCCTTCTGGTAATATATTAGAATATGACTTGTAATTGTCGTCTGCTATGCAAAAAGACGTAAATGCCCTTTAAAAATACTTCAAGGTCAAGGCTTCTGTTATCATCTGTTGACTGTTTCACATCATCAGGGAGAACTGCAAGGTCTGTTGTAGGAATTGAGTGGAAAAAATTATAAAGGAAAAAAATGATGGGGTGAGAGAGGCTCGAACTCTCGACCTCAGGATCACTCTTTAGCTATGAGACCTACGCGCTAGCCAACTGCGCCACCACCCCAATGTGAATACTAATATAATTTTATATATTTGTATGCGCAGATTTATAACAAAATATAAACCACCAATGCCTGTGATATCTGTTTTGATTCCCCCGTTCAAAACAAATCAACTACGAGGGACATTTACTGGTGCTTTTGCTGAGGTACACAACACGTTATCATGATTCTGTCGTCAAAATTATCGAGCTTCAAGACTAAATCACCAAATCACCTTTTATAAGGTATTTCTGATTCTGCTAATGAACAATTTGACATGTCTGTATAATAAATGTACATACTCTGCAACTATAGCCAGAAATAAAACAAACAGATTATGTCATTTCATTTGAAATATTCATCATCCAGACTGATTCAACAAATTACCACCTAAACTTCATGTATCCCTTTTCCCCAAATGACCAACAAACAAGACTTGTAACATAACATAACAAAAACATCAAAAACAGATCAACCAGCAACAAAGCCCTACAAAACAAACATCAAATGCTGTCTAATTTCTAAAATCTACCCATGTTTTGCTTGAAAATCCTTCATGAAAGCAACCAACTTCTCAACACCAGCAAAAGGCAATTGCATTATAAATTGAATCTCTCATTCCACCAACCGATACATGCCCCTTTAATTGAACCATCTTCTCTTTAGAACCTTCCTTCACAAACTCACCTTCCAATTCCCATTACTTACATACTGGGCTGCATGACCAAGCATTCTCCTCAATACAAGGTTTTGCTATTGGGTCGTATCTTGGGTGGTGTTGCTACTTCTCTCCACTACTAGATAACATGGAATCGGATACGGCTTTTTTTTGCTAATATAATCCATTGGGGGTGTATCCTATTACAAATGAAATGGGATACGGTTAAAACAACCACATGCTATAGGATGTATCCAAGGATATGATTTTTGCCGTATCCGTATGGTGTATCCTATTGATTGTATCATATTGATTTTTACGTATCCTAATGGTGTATCCTATTGATTGTATTCCATGTATCCTATTTACCTTGCTGTAATCACATGTGTATTCTATGTATCACAATTGGTTTATTAAACTATGTTTGGCGTACTAGCTGAAAAGCTAGCGGATAGCTGTTAAATAAAAAACTAGATGATAGCTGAAAAGCTAGATGACATAAAGGAGCATTTAACAAAATGTGTTTCTATAATTAATTAAGGGGTGTATTTGAATTTTATTAAAAGGCTCCTTAAAAGCTACTTTATAAGCTACTTTTTGGCTTGCCAAACATGACAACTTAAAAAACCTCGAAAAATAAGCTAACTTATCAGCTAACTGCGGCGCGCCAAACACAACCTTAGTATATTGAAACCAATGGCGGAGCTAGTGGGCGGCTTGCCGGTGTTTGGCCTCCCCAACGCTTTCAAAATACTACCCACGTTATGTAATTTGCATAACAGAAATAAAGCCCAATAGCCATATTTCATATGGAGTTAAAGTCTAGAGTCCCTCCCATCCAAGTTAATTGCGTCCATACTTCCAAACATTTTTAATTTTACCCACCTACCTCAAGTTCCAATTAAACATATTTTGGCTGCAAAGTAATTTTTAATTGTATTATATATGTAATTTTTTTTTGTAATTTACAATAACTAATATTATTATGATTGTTAATTTGTTTTTGAATAATCATACGGAAAATCATAAGTAAAAAAAGAAGTAATTGATCTTCTTACAAAGGAACAGAAGACGTTTATAACCAATAATTGTATCCCATTTGTGGTATTATTAAGGAATAAGCTAATAATACAGGTCCACAACCTCAAATAAATAGTATTACGGAAAGAGTTAATCAACATTGAACCTCATTGAAAAAAATTGACGTGTCGGATTTAAGTGAGATAAAATAAAATTATTTAATTCGTGATTTCGGAGAACAACATTCAATCTTAAGAGTAGTGTTTAATGTTTTATTCAATGTAAGCCCCCTTATTCTAAAATTTTGGCTCCGCCCCTGATTGAAGCTAACAATCGTATCCTATGTAGATTAGTATATTAGAACCCGTATGATAACAAATGTATCCCATCATATTTATCAACCAACCATTCTTTCATTAAAGACGTAAATAGCAATATACAAGTTGAAAAAAAATCTTTTATTATATAGACTTAAATAGCTAACTGTTATGTTCGATATGAGGCAAATCAACTAAATAGTGTATTGTTATGTTCAACTAATCTTGATTACATTTGCATATTTCTTTTCATCTCCAAGTCTAGTCTGTTTTGTATATAGCTCTTCAGGTCTCCTTGGTCACTACCATATCACATTGCAACAATTTGTTGAAAAAGAATAATATTAAGAGAACACATCGACAATATACACAATTAACTTGTAGCTTGCAACAATCATATAACATAAATAACTTGTTATTGCAATAATAAGTAATAACAACTAACCATGTAACATAGCTTCACTTCAAATAGTTCTTCAAAAAAGATGTCATCTAGAACTCAACAAAATCGTCCAACTAGATCCTCACCTGGAAATGGTGTTTTATCGTTCCAAAGGTTCTACATACAAAGTAATATAAAACTATTAATTTATTAAAAATTAAGGTTTAGTTTTAAAAATTCAAAAAACTACTTACTCTAGGAAATCCTCGTTGTCTCTACAACACAATTTCATGCATCCACTTTGACACGTAATAACCACACTACCATTTTGACTTTTGTTGGTTGCACTAACTATAAAATACACATGATAATATATATATATATATATATATATATATATATATATATATATATATATATATATATATATATATATATATATATATATATATATATATAGGTTCAGGTGTTTAAAGTATTTATTGTGTTATTGTATGCATAAATGTGGGCCAATCAAAATTAAATAAAAAATTAAATAATTAAATAAATAAAGAAGGGTAATTTAGTAATATGATTAATAACTTCCAAAAATAATCCCTATAATCATGGTATGATATTCTAGAGTCGTTCCCCTATTTATCTAATTGACTTTTTCTAACCCTAAATTTATCCCCTTTATAAATCGCCTCACACCCTTACCGTCGGCCTCACACCCAAGCGCCTGTCAATTATGAATTTGTGATCAGACATTATCGAGGTGATTTCAACAGAGGCACAGAGCATCCAGTTAATGATTTATTAAAGCAGAGAAGCAATTATAATCATTAGGTATCGACCGAGAAAAGCATCAGCAATGAAAGCGCCAAGAAGAGGAAGAAGCCTTGCCGTTCAAGTCTACGTGCTGACATTCTCGGCGGCGGTGGCCGTCGATTGCCCCAAGGGACCGGTCAAGTATGTGTTTAAATTTTAATTGACGCCATAATACGCAAATCTCTCTGCCACTTCAACCCCTGTCCTCTATCATGGAAGTTTTTTTCCTTCCTTTATGAAGGAGATGTCTGTGGTGGTTGGATGTTTTAATGAACGTGCACAAAAGGTGCTTGATGTTCATCTGGCAACAGGCTTCCACAAGTACTTCATGTGGTGCAAAGGCAAGTTACATGGAAACCATCATTCTTTAATACAAGAAGATAAGGACCTTGTTGCTTATGCAGTTATCAATGCCATTGCTATGCACAAAATTCTTAAAAAATATGATAAGGTTTTTATTTGTCGCTTAATTATCAAAGTGCTTTTAGATTCTTCATAATAAAACATGAGCAGTTGAGCACTCATAACTTTTTTACCGAAGATACATGACTCTAAACAAGGGCAAGCATTCAGGTCACAAGTCCAGAGCATGCGCATGGAACTCCTTCAGTCTCCATGGATTTGTGAGCTTATTGCCTTCCATATTAACTTAAGGGAATCAAAGAAAGCTATAAGGAAAGGTTCTGAAATATTAGAAGGCTGCTCTCTTATATTTAATGATGGAAAACCATCACTTTCGTGTGAGCTGTCTGATGTTGTGAAGCTTGAGATAGATTTGACTTGTTCCATATGCTTGATCAGCCCTTGATCATGCCTTGTAAACTTTTTGTTATAATAATGCATACCTTGATTAATTAAAAATCATATATATAGTATCTGCTATTGAATAATTTGTCGTTTGTATTTGTTGAATGATCAGGATACTGTATTTGATCCTGTGTATTTGAGTTGTGGACACATATTCTGCTTTATGTGTGCTTGCAAATCTAGATCAGTAACAGTTGTAGATGGACTGAAGGCAACAACACCAACAACAAAATGTCCTATGTGAATTGGGAACTTGTTCTGATTGTCTATTTTTTACAGGAAATTGAAAGTTGTTTTGATGCACACAAAATGCTCGCTAAAATGCTTCAACTGAATGATATTTTTTCGTTTATAGTATTCTATTAGAAAAGAATGTTTTTTATGATAATCATGAACATATTCTGTTAGAATGCCCTGAATTAATATAATTATTGGTAAATGAATTCCAATTCTATCAGAATGGAATCACGAATTCCAATTATGTTGGAATGGAATATGGATATTTTCTCATTAATTTATTCATTGCATTTGTTTCCACAGAAGCTGATGCTTGAAGAACGGACCACGAAATTTGAACGACGCCTCTTAGCAACATTATTCTTTTAGAATGTATTAGGGGTGATCGCGGCTCGGTTTGAAACCGTGAAACCGGCCAAACCGGTCATCGGTTTGGTTTTACGGTTTGTATTTTTCTTTACGGTTTGGCTTGCGGTTTCGACTTTTCAAACCGTAGTGAACGGTTTGGCTTACGGTTTTTAAGATTTCAAACCGTCTAAAAACCGGACCGGACCGTAAGATTTATATATATATATATATATATATATATATATATATTATTTAGTTTTTTATATGTAATTTTATTTTATTATATTACATATTAATTGTTATTTATAAATAATAAAATTTAAACCCACAACTTTTAATATTTTAATTACCACAGCCCAATACTAGCCCAATACTAGTTTAACTCCAATTGAAAAATGAGAAGTACCTATTTCCTAATCCCAGAGTCCAGTCCAAACAGAATTAGGTTGTTTGATTGTTTAATTTTCTCTTAACCTAATCGCAAAAGACGCAGCCTCATTCCTCAGAAGACTCGAAGTCGTTTCCCCTTCGTTGTTCAACACTTCTTCTTCACTTATCTGGACGTAAACTGATTGTGCATAACTGCATACCTTCGACTACACCTCGACTCCTCCATTGCAGCAACTCCGACTATATCTCGATACCTTGCCTGCTGCAACTCCGCCTCCGGCTCCATTTGCAGGTTCGCTTCTTGTTCTTCCTTTCTGAACAAATCCTTTGATTTTTTTTTTAATTTTAATCTGAGCTCTAACTTATGATCAAATGTGTTTTTGATATTCTGATTAATATACTCAAATGGATACAAGTTTGCTCCGAATCAACTGTCGACTAATATGAAAGATAAATCAGTTAGGGCTCAGATGGAGTTAGTTGTAAATCAAGTTAAGAAATTAACAGTGTCCTATTTTAGAATTCACTTAGGAGTTGCATGAGGATTTAAGAGGGACTGTGCTCAAGTGCTCATATCCAGAGCTCGTCTTTAACAAAAATGCATCAAGGGCTCATATACAGGTAAAAAAACTTTTTAGACCATAAAGTCATAATTTATCTATCTAGGTGAAAGTTTTATTAATATTGGATAATTTGTGATTGGTGATAGGTTGATCCTATATTTTCTGCAAGTTCATGGATGTTTGCGAACCTTAGTGTTGTTATGCTTCGATTATGTGAACCTTTCGTGGATACAAATTCAACAAAGAAAGACAAAATTGACCCTAAATATGTCTTTTATGGTTCTCGTTTGGATTTCAAGTAAGATACTCTTATCTCGTTTGGATTTCAAGTAAGATACTCAAGAAACAACAAGTTCGGTCAACCAAGTCACTGGTCTTTTTCTTTGGCAGGATGATTTTATGAACTTGATTATCATGTTCATGGCAAGTCCAGAGTACATTAGGAACCCTTAATTAAGAGCCAAAGTGGTTGAAGTCTTGAATTGTTGGATGCCTCGGAGGTATTTATCAAATTATTTGTTAATTCTGTCATCTTATGTTATTTGCTTACAAAGGGTATTTATGTCTTTTTACTTGTGTGTGTGTGTGCAGTGGCTCATCTTCTGCTACCAGTACACTTTTTGAGGGGCACCAACTCTCCGTTCAGTATCCTGTGAAGAATCTTTTGAAACTCTATGTTGATATCGAGTTCACTGGATCACCCTATATTTAACTGATAATCAATTGATGAAATTCGTTTTTATTGATTGATAGTTCTGATCAAATTTGTTATTTATTCTAATGAAATTCGTTATTTATTTTAATTGATTCGTTTTTATCAGATTCACAGATTCACGGTTTCACAGCTCCATCACAGATTCACGGTTACACAGTTTCACAGAGATTTACAGTTCTGAATGTTTGATTTAATGGTTGCGTGCATTAGTCTAATGTTTGATGTAATGGAACAATATTTGATGTTTTCATTTATTGCTTTTTATTTACTGTTTTGGCAGTTTTTTTGCTATTTTGACAACTTTAATACTCCAGTTTCTTTTAACAATTTATGGTAAAATTTTAGTTGTTTTAATAGCTTTAATTATGCAGTTTTTTTTTATTAAATTAGTCTAATGGACTCGACTAAAATGGGCCTAAAAAGCCCAAACCGTGAAACCAAACCGGAGCCAAACCGTTAGTAACGGTTTGGTTTGGTTCAGTTTTAAATTTTCAACGGTTCGGCTTCGGTTTTTGCTTGATAAAAACCGTTACTAATGGTTTGGCTTCGGTTTGACCTAAAAACCGAAAAAACTGGACCGTGAACACCCCTAGAATGTATTAGTGTCTTTGTTAGATTTTGATGTTTTTTTTTCCGATTTGAAAGTTTTTAGTTTTATTCTTTAACAATAAATGTAATTCTTAGCAATTGTTACATGTATTCTATAAGAATTAATGTAATTTTTGTTTTAATTCTTCAATTGCTGGTTCGAGAATTTGTTATTCTACAAGAAAATTTTAAAGTCATGATCAAGAAATATGTTCAAGAATATTTTTATTATTTTATGGTTCTAGAATATTTTTATTTTTGAACATACTCAAACATATTCAGTCAGAATGTCCGAATTAAAAACCTTATAATTCGTAAAATCGGATTTTTAAAATTAATAGAATCTATGATCCCTTAAAATATGCAAATTTCCTTTATTAAATCTATATTAATTGACTAAAATACCCTTCTAGTTAAATTAGATGATATTTTTCAATTATATTTAATTCAATAATATGTATTAACCACTTTCTTAAAATAAGTAAAATGATTGGCCCACATTTATGCATACAATAACACAATAATTACTTTGAATATAATAACCTAAGTCTATATATATATATATATATATATATATAATATATATATATATATATATATATATATAATCAAATACCTTTGCGAAAGTCCAAGTCATTGCACATGATATGGTTTTGGATTTTTTATTAAACGTTGCAACAACTCTAAAATAGTAAGCATTATTGGTTTCTTAGAATCTATAGAAAAAATAACGGTCATAAAATACCAAAATAAGAAACTTATTACTTTTTGTTGGAACCTGAAAGTGAACCTCTAGCAATCTCTAACCTTTGGAATTCCAAAGACAGTCTTAGGTCCGAAGTGGGATAAGGTACGAAGTCAGTCTGTGGTCAGAGATGAAGTTGGAGTCCGGAGTAGTGGAGTATGTTCGAAGTGAAGATGTTCCAAGATAATAAATCCGTCTGCATTAATTACTCTTGTTGTTTTGCTTGATGTAACAGTACATAGGACTTAGTCTATTTTGTCAAAATGGATAATCAGAGTGTCAGAAGTAACTCTTTTATCCAGTCCTGTGCATGTAATTTGGTTTGTACGATGTAATCCTTTCTCCTATATAAGGAGTGTTTAACGACAAGAATAAATGACGGATAGTTTCTCCAAAGATAGTTATATTTGAATTTACTTCACTTGTACATTTCTTTCAAATCAAACTCTTTCACACATTCTACTTGTTCAGTTATTATCTTTACTTTGATTATACTCATTACTCCATATTTAATACGTGAAGTACTTTGTTGATTATCATCTTCAGTCTCGACTGGTCTTTCTAGACTTGACTGGAACACTTAATCAGAAGCAGACATTGATCTTAAGCATTAACTCAAGGTTTGAGTTTTCAAGCCTTGTCCCTGCATAATCAGATCCTTGTTCTCACAATTAGTATCAGAGCTTGAGTGGTTGTCCTTTGAATCCATAATAACATATTATAATTGATTCGAGATTACCTTGGTATTTCGATCATTTATGTGTTCAGGATAAAAGTTCTTTTATATACCACTTTTGCTCAAGATATCTTAACTTCGATGGCTGCTTCTAATTCTCAACAAATGTATTCAATGCAAATAGCAAATAGCGTTGGTTGCCCTACTCATTCCCCACTGCTAGTTGTTGAAGAGTATGATCACTGGAAAGTCAGAATGGAAAGATTTTTACTTGGTAAAGAAAAAGGTGAAGCTATCTGGAGATTCGTTAAAGAAGGTCCTCATGTTCCAGTTCGAACAATTGTCAGAGATGCTGCTGCAACTCTCATGGGACATGATGAACAAAGTCAAGCACCTCTCACTACTGATGACATCGAAAAGCTGCATGCAGATCAAGTTGCCTTTTCCGAAATGGTGTTTGGTGTTCCACTTTCTCTCTTTGAGCACATCAAACTGTGCAAAACTGCTTAAGAGATTTGGGACACTCTTCAAGACTTGTTCGAGGGATCAAAGAATATGAAGGATAAGCATTTAACCTCGGCTGTCAACGATTTTGATACATTCACTACAACTCCTGTTGAATCTGTTGCCTCGGCCTCAAACAGATACCGTGTGACAACCCGAAATTTTTTGCCTTGTAAGTCCAGCCATTCAATTCAACCGTGTGTCAGACTCGTTTCTGCTATATTTTAGCCTTGTTTAAAGTCTGTTTAAGGGTTCAAAGCTTAGTACATTCAAGCATTGGGTTTAGGGAAGTGTCAGCTAAAATTCTTCGCGTTGAAATCGAGCCGGACACTCCATCAGAGGGAGTGTACGACCGTACACATGTGTACGGCCGTACACTCATGTTGGCCGTACACCCGCTCCACAAGTATGGTATCCCTTCATTTCTAAGTCATTTCTTCAGTTTCCAAGTCAAGAAATCGAGTTTTCTCTCAACTATCATCAAGCTTTTCACCCCGATCTTCAAGAATGTAAGCCTTTCTTCCATTTTGATTAGTTGTTATTCTTCTTAACCTAGTAACACCCTTTGATTTCATCCATGCAAATCATCTTTTTGGTTAGATCTTCAAATCTTCATCCATTTCACCAAGAACACCAAGAACACACACTTGTTCTTGGTGGTTGTGAACCCTTTTCAAGCCTCCAGAACGTAAGTATTCTTTCCCTATGCTTAGTTCATGTTAGGAACACTTGTTTAACATCTTAAAATCGACCAAAACTCAAGATCAAAAGGAGTGTACGGCCGTACACCCCTCAAAACACCCATAAAGGGCCTCCAAAGTGAGAATCTAGTTCACATTCTTGTTGAGCAATTGTCCCACAAGCTTCCCTATCATTCAAACACACTTTTGTGAACTTTTTACCATGAGTGTACGGCCGTACACTCCATGGCCGTACACCCATGTCTGCACACTCCCTATTGTCGCCGTACACTCCCTTATGATGAATCACATGTGATCTAACACTTGGTCCAAGTGTTTCCTAGTCCCTAAAGGTGTTTCCTTGCATGTGGTTGCTTCTAAACACTATATTCATGCCAATATATGCCATTATATGTCATTTAGGACTCGTTTGTGTCTCGGGACTTCATTCGTGGAACTTCTCATCCTTACGCGCATATTCGTTTGAATCACCCACATAAGGTGAGTTCATACCCCTATAATCAATCTTTTAAACTGTTTTAAATGCTTTTAGGGGGGGGGGATACAAGTTGAACACAATCATAATTGTGTAAATGTTTGTTATAAACATCTTTCAAAGGATTGCTTATGTTTTTATAAGTGATCAAAACATTTCAAAAACTCTTTTTAAGTTATGTTACTTTATAGTTTATAAAAATCTGTTTTTAAAGTACAATCATGACTTAGTAGATAAATGAGTCTTTTTCAGTAACAGTTCAAGTAAACATACTTGTAAAATATAATAGGTATAGTTTAGGGTTTCAGTTCATACTAGATACTAGAACATACTATAAAGAGAAACAGGGAGGTAGATACAATACACGATAACAGAAAGAACATACTAAGATACTATAACAGAAGGAACATACTAAGATACTATAACAGAAGAACAAATCATGATTAACAAAATATACCAATGATCACTAACTCATTGTTCTAAACAAAAGGTGATAATAAATTGGGTATACAAGACTACTATAACTTTAATGTGAGACTATTTCACGGCTTAGCAATTTGTTTGCTGAAGACGCGTTTTGTAACCAGAATCTCTTGCAGGGAGAGCGTATAGTATGGGTACAACCACATCACATTATGACCTTAATAAAACAAACTTGTTTTAAGGTAATCAGTACTTCAGGATGTCAATTCAAAAGACAACTGTGTACTTACATTTTCCCATTACTTTCATAGAGTGACAGTTCCACTTGAAAGTTAATGCAAACTATTTTCGAGTTAAGATAGTTATAAACTAGGGAAAACTTACATCTTTTCAAGCGACAAACAGAACAGTCGAGTCTAGTACATTCAGTAGAAAGGGGCCTATAATGATAACTTTATGATTCCTTAGTTTATACATCAGGAATATATATTAATCGGATCTGACAGGTAGTAGGGTGTGTGCTTTCCGCTTCATTTCCTGTTCCTTGTTTGGTTGTGGGCTTAGAGCAGATTCACCCAGCCTACTATCTATTCGATCTTAGCTATATATATGTTCCGTATGCACCAAGTAATCATAAGGAGTACCAGGTATGGGTCAGGTCATAAGACACTAATTCAATGCACCGTTTTCTAGTACAAAACATACTTTTCAAATAGAACATTTGGTATACAAAACTAGAAACTTACCAGTAAGGGTTTAATCCATTTATTAAACCAGTATAACTTAAAAGACCTTAGGTGGTTAATTCTATAATACCTTAGTTTATATATCAGGGTTATATATAATTAATACCCGATAGGTAGTTGGATGTGTGTTTTCTTCCTC